TCAAGATTTTTATTTGCACAAACATACTGTTGCATCAGAAAAATGCTCTTTATTTTGTTAATGGCAAAAATGTATTCCCAGAACTTTGGTTCAGTTAGCTAACTACAGACACAAACTCAACTCACTGGCTTCTCTCCTGAATGATTTCACACGAGTCTCTTCAGACCTCAGAACTGTACATGAATTATGAGCTTCTAGAACTTCTGATTGAAGCTGTGCGTGACCTCCTAACTGAACTCATTCCACAAAACAGTATAAATAACAAAAATAAATAACAGTTTTTTTCTTAGTCGTAAGTGCAAACAATAAGTGCAACCATAATAAAAGTACTCTCTCAATATTCAAAGTGGAAATAGAGACCACATTTTTCTTCAAGCATGATACAGAGCTAAGCGATGATTACAACTACACAGCCCAGCCTAAGATAGGTTTGATATTGGAAATTATTGTATGTAACCTAATATGCGTGCTGCTCTCAAAATGTGGGGTATTGAAATCCCTTTAAAACACGCTTGTGTTTGACTTTCGCTTTTGAATTTGCTATCACGCGTACTCTTTGTATAAGAAGCGGCTGTGCTGAGAATGCATTCTACAAGATAAGCCATTTGTCAGACGCTTAAGCTCTGTTGCACAACGAATCCTCCGCCATGGTCTTGTCAGTCATCTCACCTTACTCTTGACATGTGATCAGTGAACTCTGATTCCTGCTGCACTGTGTGCGACTGCAGCTCATGCTGAATGAGGAGAGCAGCTGCTTACAGTTTAGAATTGAAGCGACCGTTATACAACTGAATTAAATGGTTTTTATTTCTATAAAAAAAGCTAAACGACAGTGGAGTAATGTTCTGTGCTAATTTCACCCTCACACTCCATTATGGCGATATCGCGAGAGCTTTTCACCTCAATGAGAAATCTTGTCTCAATCTCAATTCACATCTCGTGGCACAAGATCTCATCACACCCCTAGTAGTAGTATATAATTAGCACAATATTAATTTATATTTATAATATAAATTAATAAAATAATTATATATATATTACTAGTTATATATATAGTCGTTGATATTCATATTCTCGATAATAATCATTTTTTTTACTATTATACATATTACAGGCAATTTCCCTCCTCCCACTACTCCTGAGGAGCTGGGCGCTCGTATCCTGATCCAGGAGCGTTATGAGAAGTTTGGAGAGAGTGAGGAGGTGGAGATGGAGGTTGAGAGTGAAGATGAAGAGGATGAGAGAGTGGGCAGGGTGGTAGGACATGCAACTCAGTTAGACCAGGACACACAGCTGCAGGACATGGACGAGGTGAGACAACCAGGGTGATCATATCAATGGGACGAGGATGTTACATGTTCACATAATGTAACAAATGAGCAGTTCATAGAAGTGGGTAAACTAACACTCTGATTGACCTGTTATTCCTCTCTCAATAGGGCTCTGATGAAGAGGATAATGGCATGAAGGCTCCTCTACCCCCTGATAACCCTGTGCCACCACCTCTGCCCCCCACCCCGGACCAGGTTATTATCCGCAAAGACTACGACCCCAAGGGTAAGGGCATTTATAAAAACACACTTTTAACATACTAGAACAAGTAGCACATATTTCATTGCATCAACTCATTTTCTATCTCATCTTTCAGCGTCTAAGCCTCTGCCTCCTGTGGCCATCCCTGATGAGTACCTCATCTCTCCCATCACTGGTGAGAAGATCCAAGCCAGTAAGATGCAGGAGCACATGCGCATCGGCCTGCTGGACCCCCGCTGGCTGGAGCAGCGTGACCGCAGCATCCATGAGCGTCAGATCGAGGAGGAGGTGTACGCTCCGGGCCTGGACATTGAGAGCAGCCTGAAGCAGCTGGCCGAGAGACGTACCGATATCTTCGGTGTGGAAGAAACAGCCATTGGTAAGAAGATCGGAGAGGAGGAGATACAGAAACCAGAGGAGAAGGTAAGAAAGAAAAAGAAAAAAATTATATCTGCTGTTCAACATTGTAGTAGACAAATTAATTAAACTAGTGTTCTAAAAGTCTGCAGGACCAAAACAATGCCCATTGTTGAGAAACCCATAAACACTTAAACCAGATCACTAAAACGAATTATTTAACCCTCTGGTGATCCTCTGTCATTTTAGACCGGACAGAGTTGTGTTTTGAATTTTACTTTTTTTTTTTCTTCTTCTTTTTTTTTTTACTTCATCAAAATTGTGGACATGATTAGAAAGGGTTAAGTTAATATTATAATTATTTATTATTTATTAAATTAAATGCATATATTCATATATAGAAATTATAATATAGGGCTTATATTATTTCATATAGATATACATGGTGTATAATTTAGAGGTGAAATCCTCTAAAAATAGAAAATATTAAAGAATAATTATTAAAAACATGTAGCACATTAATAAAAAAATATTATGCTTATTGCGCTTATTGTCCTTGGTGCCCCCTTAGTGAGGAATACCAGAAGGTAGTAGTGTTCATCTAACAACCCTTCCTCTTACTCCGCAGGTCACATGGGACGGTCACTCGGGCAGCATGGCTCGTACCCAGCAGGCGGCTCAAGCTAACATCACCCTGCAGGAGCAAATTGAAGCCATCCACAAAGCTAAAGGTCTAGTGCAGCAGGACGACACCAAGGAGAAGATCGGCCCCAGCAAGCCCAACGAGATTCCTCAGCCGCCCTTGCTATCAGTAGCCCCCAGCCTTCCCAAACCCACCCCACCCATCAGCATCACACCTGCTGTGAGTCTCAATCTGTGTCTGCATTCGGGAGTTTTGAGAGATCAGCTTGATTGTCAAACACAAAAATTAAAGTGCTCGTTCTAACTAAAGGTTCTTGTGTATATTCCAGATGGCACCTCCAGTGCGGACCACCTTGCTCCCTGCTGTTCCTGTCATACCCAGACCTCCAGTGGCCCCTATGGTGCGTCTGGCCCCCATGCCACCCATGCTGCATGCCCCACGCATCAGTGTGTTGCCCATGCCACCCTCTGCATCCCATATTATGGCACCCAGACCTCCACCGATGGTGGTTCCTGCTGGTGAGTCTTTGGAATAACAGATCTGTTGCGTAGCTATTTGTAATTTAAAAATTAATTTAAATAAATATTCAACAGACATTTCTATATTAAATATAAAAAAAGTAATATAATAATAGTAGAATTTATATTATATAAATAATGATTTTTTTATTTAATAAAACTTTTGTTATATAATTGTAATAATAATTACTAATAAATAATTAGTAATTTAATAATTGATTTAATAATAATATTAATTTTGTTAATAATAATAATTTTGCTATAATAAATCTCTTTTGTTTTGTAGCATTTGTACCTGCTCCCCCTGTGCCTCAACCTCCCAGCGCTGTTGCCGCCCCCATGCCTCCTGCCCATCCTCCACCTCCTCACGAGGACGAGCCTTCCAGCAAGAAAATGAAGACCGAGGACAACCTGATTCCAGAAGAGGAGTTCCTGCGCAGGAACAAGGTGCATTGCTGCTGCAGCAAACTGTTTTGAGTGCAGTTAGCAATGAATATTTTTGAACTGTTATTACATAAGGGTCATCTGTTAATCATTTCAATTTGACCTTTGCTCTCTTTTAGGGACCTGTTGCAGTCAAGGTCCAGGTGCCCAACATGCAGGACAAGACAGAATGGAAGCTGAGTGGCCAAGTGCTGAACTTCAGCCTGCCTCTCACAGACCAGGTAAAGAGTTTGCCTTTAATCTCGTATCTGTATGCACCATTTGAACACATTTTAACTACTAATCCTTAGAATTATACAAAACATGTTTAGAATTCATGAAAAAGTGAGCTAATCAAATGCCATACTGTGCCTCAGGTGTCTGTCATCAAGGTTAAGATCCACGAAGCCACTGGTATGCCGGCTGGAAAACAGAAACTGCAGTATGAGGTAAAATATTTCAGTTGAATAATGAGATGGTTATTTTATTTAAACTCTGAATGCTTAAAAGAACAAGGCATCTTAGTTATGACATTACTAAATATAAAAGTACTTTGAAAACTCAGATCTCCTGTTGTGTTGATTCTCCAGGGAATTTTCATCAAAGATTCCAACTCTCTGGCCTATTACAACATGAACAACGGATCTGTCATCCATCTGGCCCTTAAGGAGAGAGGAGGAAGGAAGAAGTAGATCGCTCATCTTCTCTGTTTCAATCCTCCGCATTAATTATTGTGCTTATAATCCTGTTACTTTTGTACACTTAAAAGAACTTGTGCTGTGTTCAGAGTAATCAGTGTCTTGTGATTATCCTACATTCAGTGCATGGATAATTAAATAACACCGAACATTTAATATTGGCAGTCGTCTCCTAGCAAACTGCCCTTTTTTTAGTCTCACTTTTCATTGAGGTGATTGTGTTAAATATTTGCAAATCTAAAGTTTAGCTTTGAAGCATTACATTTCGTCGGATGCATAATAAATTCTTGTCTCTTTGGAAAACCTACCTAATAAATTTCAGTAAGAAATGTTATTAGCCATACTGTCTTTTTTCCCCTCACAAATATTACCATTACTTATTTTTCATATTACATTCTCAATTTTGGGCGGCATGAATAAAAATATGATCTGAAATAATTGAGGTATTAGCCCTATTTAAAATGTAAATAATACTTCTAAAATCGTTATAGATCCTTCCGGTGGCTTTTATTTTGAAATGTGAAATATTTAGATACTAAAAATCAACACTAGTTCGACCTGATTATGTTATTTATTTTGTTTGCTTTATCATCGGATCAAACTAGATTTATAATATATATTGTAGGAAAAAAACAACACAGCAGTTAAGAAATACGGTAAGAAAGTGAAGCTGTTGAGCTGCTAGCATACAGTAAGATGCGTGTTTGACACTTATATAGATTTGTAATAAACATTGCATTTATATTTTATTAACATAACATTGTTTAATTGCTAATCTAGCGTCCAAAAGCGTCCTCACCGACAGAGCCAGGCAGAAGTGGGTTGAGAAACCTCTGCAAAGTCGCTGACAGGCTCGTGTTGCTGTTGTGTTCTGCCTGAGGCGCTTCTGAACATGAGTGGATGTGTGTGGCAGGCGGAGTCGTGCCCATCAGGAGCTGTGTGACCTGCAGGCGGGTGAACAGCTGCAGCCCTCCATCCTGAAGGAGATCAGTGAGGAGGTAAAACTCCACCTGATGTTACAAACGCAAGCTTCCTGTCCTCTCTGTCTTCCCTTCTTTAACATGTCTTTTCTCTCTCTTCTTCAGCACAATCTATTGCCTCAGCCACCTCGTGCCAAATACATCAGCCAATCAGATGAGCTTATTTTGGAGGATGAACTGCAGAGGATCAAACTGGAAGGCAACATTGACACTGCTAAGTTTGTAACAGGTGGGATACAGGAAAGTTAGGGAACATTTGTCAATAAATAGTAAGACAAACTGATCCGTCTCAGTCTTCTCGGGCTTCTCAATCTTCATGCTTTGTTGTGAAATGGTATTTTCAGGTAGTGTTATTGCTATCATGGGTGCAGAGAAGAATGATGGGACATTCACTGTTGAAGACTTCTGCATGGCCGACCTTCCTCCACAGATCCCCCAAGACAGCCTCTCGGCTCAGACAGGTGCAGAAACACACTTGACATGACTGACCAGAGATCCGGAGTTTTTTTTTTAGACATACTGATGTATGCAGCAGTTTTAAAAATCTGGCCAGTACATAACTGTTATGGCTGTTAACTGATAAATGATGAGTATTAAAATTAAGGTATTTTGTCTAAATAAATGGAAAATAAACCATGAAAAAAAGAATGAAACCGTAAATTTGGAAATCACAACATGAGAATGTGCAGCGTGAAGTATGGATATTCATTTTGGATTTAGGAAAGATTACATTTAATAGTATTATTTAATTAATAGTATTTTAAAAATGAACTTTAAGTGAGTGTTATATGATGGCAAAAATTAATCTAAATCAGAGAAAAAAAAGAATACAAAAATATATAAATAAATCGACCAATAAAAATAAATAAAAAAAATGTTGAAAGTTGCCATGAAATCAAATTTGACCAAATTGACAATTCAAATTTTTTTTTTTGTGGAATATTGCAGTGTTTATTATAAAGGATTTATCAGTGCATATTGTTATATTTTTGGAAATCTTTTATACATTTTATTGTGATGGACATATATAAGACATAATAGAGAAGAAAAGACATCTCAGTTTCCATTGCATGTCGACTTTAATTGTATATATAGGCTGACAACCTAGCTGAGTTGGATATATCATGCATCCCTAGTGTTGAAGTTGCACATACATGTCTGGTAATCACAAGTGGATTCTTTGACTACAAATGTTTTTGTGAGCAGGATGTATACATTGAAGCCTTCAGAAGGATGTTTAAAGGGTGTTTAGTATTTATACCAACTTTATTATGCTTTTCCTGGCTGATTTTAGTGTGACAGTGTAGAATTAACTTTCACCTTTTAACCTTTGCTGTTTTCTGGTTGCACAGGTTTGTGCTTCTTGCCTCTGGCCTGGGGTTGAACGGCAGCAGAGCAGACAGCACGATGGGATTGCAACTTTTGGTGGATATGGTAACTGGTCAGCTTGGAGATGAGGGGGAGCAGAGCGGAGCAGCGTCCATCTCTAGAGTCATACTAGCTGGAAACCTGTTGAGTCAAAGCGCTCAGGACAAAGACTCAACAACCAAGGTGTGCAAATGGGACTTACTTTTCAAGCAGCACTAATCTCACTTTTTAAGCAGAATTTCTATCACATTTAGTGAATTAATTTTATAAATTAAACTCTTTTCCATTTGAAGGCAAAGTACCTGACTAAGAAGACTCCGGCTGGGAGTGTGGAAGCTATCAGACTGCTGGATGAGCTTCTAATGCAGCTAGTGGTGAGTGTTTTCAGCCCAAAGTGTGGACTTTGTTGAGGGACCAAAAAGACTAAAGGCGTTATTTGGGACATGGCTGAAATGTATTGTACTCCATTTATTCAGTATATCAAGCTTCTAGGACCAGGTTCTTAGTTGTATTCTGATCTCACAGTGAGTTAAGACTTGCTGTTATCCTTTTCTTCCATTTCTTTTAAGTAGGCTTTTTACGGTATCAAATTTTCATGTTGCCATAATTGCTGAAGCTTTCATCACGGTGTACGGTATTATCATGATATTGAAAAAAAGTGTCACCATAATATAACAGGTTTGATAACTTTTTTTTCTTATAACTGAAAGAACTGAACATTTAAATACAATAAAAGCAATAAACAAAAATGTATAAAGTAAACAAATGTTTCAAACAGATTAAAGTGCAAAATAATTATAAAGAACAATAGGTAACACTTTATGTTAAGGTCTCATTAGTTAACCTTAGTTAATGCATTAACAATAGCCAATTGTTACATATGTTACAGAAATTATTATACTTTTTTTTTAATACATCTGTTAGTTCATGTTAGCTCAGGTCCTTTAAATAATACCTTTACAACTTTTGATTTTTATAATGTGTTATTAAATGTTAAATGTATCTAAGATTAACGAATGCTTTAGAATAATTTTTCATTTGCAGTTTGTTAACTAATGAATGTTAAACAACAGAGCCTTAATGTAAAGTGTGACCGAACAAAGAATCAAAACATTTTCAAACAATATCTAGGGCATGTTGTAGTCCAGAGTAAAATGTAAAAAAAAAAGTTTGAAAATAAATAGCTTATTAAGTCTAAGAATTTAAGTATTTAAATAAGTACGCAGCATAAGAATTCAGTGCTGTGATGAGCACCACTGCGAATACAAAAATCTGAATGGCTGTTTGAAAGAACAGAAAGTAGGACAGCTGCTTTGTTTACAGGGTTAACGGCTGCATTTCTGCTGTTCCATCAGCACCACCTGCTGTCAGAGAGTGAATGTGCACTTTCAATTAGTGCATCTCTTTCACTGGTTCTGCCATGAGCTTCTCATCCGGCTTGAGCTTGTTTACATCAGAGTGCGCATGAGTCTTTGACGCAGCATACAGCGGTGTTGTGCATTTTAACAAGTTGATGCTAAAAGTATTCTTAAAATGCATTAAAAAAATCAGAATAATTAGAAATATATAATTATTCACGGTATTTTGAAGTGCCCACGATAACAATATAAAATGTTTTGAAGTCTCTGTAATTTGTAATTTGTTCTCTATAGGTCTCTGTACCTGTAGATGTCATGCCTGGACAGTATGACCCAACAAACTACACTCTTCCCCAGCAGCCTTTGCACCGCTGCATGTTCCCTCTGTCTGTGCCCTTCCCCACGCTGCAGCTGGTCAACAACCCCTACCAAGCCATCGTAGATGGTGTCCGGTGAGTAACTACCTGTGCATTTATCCTCTCTCAGTGGTGTGGTGTGGTGAGCAGCTCTTGGCCGTGAATGTTTTGTGGTTCCTCTAAGGTTCTTGGGCACAGCAGGACAGAATGTCAGTGATATTGTGAAGTACAGTAGTATGGATGATCATCTGGAAATACTGGAAAGCACACTGATAATTTTTCCTTCCATCCTTTTTTTCCCCATTGCCATGTCCTTTTAAGGGCTTTGTATTGTGAAAATATTTTACAGCTTTTTTTGTTTTTTATTATTCAATTGTATTTTAAACATTTCAGTATGACTCTTTCAGGACCTAAAATCATTTGAATTTATAAAAATAAGTATTCATTTAGAAGTTTTTGAATATCTTGTTGTATTACTATTTTGTATAAAGCACTCTGAGAATGCTAGATTGCTCTGACATGTTTTGTTGACCCTCAAGGTTGTTACCCGTTCTATCAGAAAGATCCCTTTATTATGGAAGAATGCCCTCATGTGTACTTCAGCGGAAACGCACCAAGCTACCAATGTAAACGAGTCACAGGTGAAGACCAGACTATTTAATATTAAACACAGCACTGTGTGTAAGTGTGGCCATGCATTACCAGTATATTTTTGTAAGGTAATTTTTGTCTTATTTTTCATCTCAGGACCTGAAGGACAAGATGTTCTCCTAGTAGCAATCCCAGAGTTCAGCAGCACACAGAGAGCCTGTCTTGTGAACTGCACTTCTGATGCAGTTCTATTATATATAAAACCTCACCATATGAACTAGCCCTTAATTTTATAATCTGAAAACAATTTCTCAATAAGCTTTAGATGCCAGGAACTAGATATATGTAATAATAGTGCTTTCTCAAAAGAAAACGGTTTATTATTTACTGAGAAGCACTGTCTGCTGGAAATCTATAATAATGGAGAGATCTAATCGTTTGTAAGCATTTCTTTTATTGAGACGTGTAATGACAATTCAGACACTAATGTGGTAGGTCATATTTGCTAAACATAATAAAAACATCAGCAAAGCCACTTTTGGAACAACTTGCCGAAGAGAATTCTAAATTAATAGTGTGGACTTCGAAGTGCCAATTCATCATCAGACTATGACAAAAAAATAGCACCATCCTTAAAATCATAAGAATTAAGGCATACAATTAAGT